AAAAAAAAAAAAAAAAAACCCAAACAAACAAAAAAAAACAAAACAAAAAAACCAACCAAAACCAAACCAACAACAGCAAATAAAAAAGAAAACAACAACCAGGAGCGGGGAGGGGAAGGGGGAGATTTTGCGGGTGTCCCAAGGCGGTGGAAAAAGTCCTGGAGGAAAAGTCGAGGGGAGGGATAAAAATAGAGAGGAGCGCGGATGGGTTACGCGGAGGTAAAAGGTGCGGAGCGCTGCGCGCTGCCGGGGGCAGGTGGGCTCCGCGCTGCGCTGCGTTGGGGGCTCCCGCCGCGCCCGCCCCGGCCGCTCTGGGAACCACTGGCTTTGGTGCTGCACTTTTATTTCGCGAAGTCCTTTCCACCCCTTAGCAAAAAAAAAAAAAAAAAAAAAAAAAAAAAAAAAAAGGAAAAAAATGGGGAAAAAAAAAAACCCAACCCAACAAAACCCAGTCACTTCGCCTCGGATGGGATATCCAAGTAAGCACGGCCCCTTTCCTGCTTCCCTACATCTGACATTTTACATAGATAATTAAGTCCACATTTTTTTCCTGAGGGAAGTTTTTAAAAAAATAAAAGAAAGAGAGAGAGAGAGTCGGGAACTAAAAGTTTTTCGCGGAGCCGAAGGAAGGAGGGAGCCTCTAGCGTCTATGGAGCGGAAAAGCGCAATAGGAGGGAGGGGGAAGGAAAAACAACCAGCTCTGCAAGGGAGGACTCAAAAGGTGATTATGGCGCAAAGTGGTGGCAAATAACTTTTTTTTCCTTCTTTTTCTTGCTTTCCCCCTGTCCTTCAGCTCTGCTCCGTGTGCTGAGATCCTTTTGCAGGGGATGAAGCACCAGGGACCCCAATGCCCATCACAAGGCCTGTTGGGGCTGAAGGATCATGGAATCATTAAGGTTGGAAAAAGGCTGCTAAAGACTAATCCAAACATCACTGGATGGTTTGGTGAAGGCTGAGTACCACCACTGAGTTATAGCAGCCTCGTCCCCCTGCAGCAGCAGCGCTACCTTTGTGAAACAAGGGTAATGAGAATGCTAGAAGCAAGGTGAGGGATGATACCTTGGCTAATTGCCCCTTTAGTCTAATTAGAAATTGCCAAAGATGCTAACAATGTGTTTTCCATGAACCTCAGCTGGAGGTGGGTTGGCCATTTTGCCAGCTCCAAGCAGGGATGCAGAGACAGTTGGTAAAGCCTGTGGGTGCCCAAGGTTCAGGTCAGCATCTGACCTCTTCTCTTCTCCTTTTGCCACATAGTTCCCCTTTGCATGCTGGGGAACCTGAGGAGCTGCAAGCTGAACCTTGCTGAGGGCAGGTTTTCCAGGAATCTGTTTAGACACATTCCCGGGCACATTTGGGCCAACATGGGAGGAAGAAAGCAAAGAGGCTGTTTTAATATTTTACTTGTATATGTGCGGTGTAAAATAGAAAGGGCAAAGCAGACCTTGGGTTTTTGTCCAATTCTTTCATCACGGTGCCATCAGGTGCCATCTCCCACATTGCTCTCAAGAAGGCAGCTCTCTCTTTCGTGCCACCTCACAGTAAAACCATCAGTTTTGTACCCCAAATCATTCCCTGTGGCAATGATCACCAAAATGTGGCCCTGGCCAAGGGCATGTCTCAAGGTCTCTCTCTCCTTCTCATTCCTGCAGCAGAAACATGGGTGCCAAATTTAGGCTCTCCAGCTGCCTGGAGCGAATGGAAAGAATCCTCACGTGGGAATTATGCCCTGCCCAGGGTTGGCCCCAATGCCCAGTCCTGCTCCCCTCCCCATGGTCGGCACCAACCTGCCCCAAGGAGCTCAGAGCTCCCAGCACTGGCTGCAGCCACCCCAGATCTGCTGATGGAAAACGGTCCCTACTGAAATCCCTTGGGTTAAACTCAATTTTAAAGTGAAGAGAAAGAGGAATAAGAATAATAATTGTTATTATTATTATTATAAAGACCTGTCGTTGTAACAGTAAATGAAAAAAAAAAAGAGCCTTTATTGTACTTGAAGGGAAAGTGGGAGTTACTGAAATTAAAGTTTTATATTTGCATTTACAAGGCTCCTTAGGCTACTAATGTTTGCGTTTTCATAACAAAAAGATTGTGCTGTTAATTGATGCAAGCAATGGTGCACAAATAAGTCCCAATCTTGGATGATTTCTTAAGGGAACAGCCACTACAATTCCCCATTGTCAAGCGTGAACTGAGCAAGTCATCTGTGCCAAAAAGCAGCTTCTGTGCCTGGGTCAATAAAATGCAAGAGATTCATTGGTAATACTTAATTGTTTATTCATAAATGCAATTATTGAATACACCACGCACCAGCCTCCCTTTTAGGGCTCAGTTTTTCCTCTCAATCTTATTCTGCATTCTCACTATGGACCGTTTCTTTTTTTTTTTTCCTTCTACAGATCAACCAAAGCCATTGCATTTCTGTTATCAGTGCATTTTGCCCCACGTTATTGGAGATCTCCCAAGATCTTCACCATCTTCCAATCTGAGCTGGACCAAACTGCCAGGGAATGAGGAATGCAGCACTGGGACAATCTATCAGAAGATAAAGCGTCTGCAGTAAAACTTGTTCTTGCCCACATTTGTGCCTCTATTGCAATGTTTCACAGCCCAACAATATTAGAACAGAAATTGTGTTTTATTCAGTCAGGCAGGACATTTTAAGAGAATAAGCTTCGCTAAGACCAGTCTTGTAGTACAAAGTAGAGCAGGAATGGGATGCTTGTATCCCTCGTATCTCAGGACATGACTTCAGCCACCCCATGGAAATCTGCTCATTGCATGGCAATAATTTAGAAGTGAGAGCAGCTCTTCCTCATAATCACTTGTCATGATTCAGGTCAAAAGGTCACGCTTCTGAAAGAAAAAAAAAAATAAATGAAGAAGTCAAAAAGTTCCTGGTTTTATTTTTTTTCTTCTGTAGAATGTGTCAGAGGGATGTGCCAGCAGGACCTGGTTTGGGAACAGAAACTCCAGTGACAGCTGGTGCTCTCAGCTGGTGCCTGGGGTATTTTGGGGGGTGTGCTGGCAGATTTGGGGAATTCCTCTCATCTCGCCCCAGGTGCAATGGGCAAAGTGAAGTTGCAGAATGGCTGGATGTTTGGCACCTGGATGGTTGCATGTTTACTGCTGCCTCCTCACATCTACAGAGGGGTTTTATATAGCAATCTACTTTGCTTTTCCATCAAGGGGACAATGTGACAGCAGGGAAGGACCAGGTGCTGCCTATATTTCAGAGTCATTCATATCTATGTCTATGGGAGACCTAAAATAAGAAAACAAACTATGCTGTTTGCTGACATATCCATCCGTTACTGAGATTGTTCCCTACCAAATGGGGAAATCAGAGCAAAGTTGCGTGCTGCCCATCAGGTGGCCAGAGCTGGAGTCACAAGGCTGAAATACCAGCACTCTTCTGGGAAGCCCAGAGCTGAAGCACTGCTACCCTGCCCAGGGGTATTTTTAGCACCATCAGCTGCTGCTCTCCTGCAGAACATCAGCAGAGGGGCTGAGCAGCACAGAGGGATGTGGGGCATTGCCAGCCCTGGCCTCTGTGGGTTTTAGGGTTTCCTTGCACCCACTGGTGCCTCATCATCCAACCTGCCCTGGCAGGAAATGTTTGCAAAGGTTGGGCTTGGGTCTGTCCCTGCAGTAAGGGAGCTACATAGATAGAAGAGGGATCCATAAGGAGCCTAATTCTGCATGGGCAGCGTCTGGTGGGCATTCTTGGTGGGCATGGTGGGGATGGCTCTTGCTGGTCTTGGTGGTCTTTTCCAACCTTAACGATTCTACAATGCTGTAAGCCTGAGCCTCATAAGTACCCAGTTAATTTTCTTTTAAAAAATTAGCTGATAAATGTCACCTTAATGTAGGATTTTCTGCCATTCGGGAAATTGGGCATGCAGATTTGTGCAGGCCAGGAGGGTCAGCCCTCAAAAACGTGCCCTGCTGACCCACGGGGTAGATCAGCGGTCAGGGAACTGTTCCTGGCATACCAATCACCAGCGTCAGATGCATTTGATTTGCCAACAAACCTAAAGTCCAGCCTGTGTTGCAACCAGCTCTTGTCCTGCCGCCAAGTTTCACAATCTTGGTGTTTCTCCTTAATTTAATTGAGTTCCCATCATCTTGATGTGCTGTGATTACAGGATTCCAGCGCTGTTCAAAGAAATAAATACAAAAGACACTGTTAGAAGGAAAAGGAAAAAAAAAAAAAAGCGGTTATTTCACTCGAAGGTGTGGCAAAGACCACAGGAACCCGATTTGGGATGAGGAGCCCCTGGACCAGCATCTCTCGGAGGCTGCGGGTTTCTCGTACTCAAAAAGGAGACGAACAGCACCATCTGCTGCCCTCCGACGGCATCTGCCCTATAGACATCAGCACAGCCATCCCATAGCACAAATAGCCGTGTTCAGGGATCAACCCGAGCCATCCCGCGCGGCGAAATTAAAGCAGCGCTTAATTACGGAATACACGCGTTAATTACGACGAGAGCTCAGTCCTGAATAATACTCACTCCCCCCCAGCTGGTGGCATGTAAAGGGAGTTCAGTGTAGCAGCATTTTCACATATTTCCCTCCTTTCCTTTCATGTGTTTATTAGCAGAGCCTTAAAGAGCTGCCTGTATAATTCACCTTTATGTGCAATTCCTATCCAGGAAGGCATTTTCACAGTCAGCAACAGCTAATGAAAGGGGTGGCACATCACTGTGCAGCTCCAGCCCCTCTAAAACCCAGCTCTGTGCTCCACGCTGGCCACCTCCCAGCAGTTTGTTTGAAAGTCAAGAATGTGCCATGTTTTACTGACGCTTCGGGGTCAGGATCTCAATGAAAGCCCCGTTATAAGCAGCAGCCTCAGAGGAAAGGTCTCCACTCCAGACTGCAGCCCTGAACTGTTTACCAGTTACCTGGCAGTAGTTAACACGTTGGGAATGTCTCCACTGGATGTTGCCCAGGTGTTTGTTGCAGGATGCAAATGTGTTCGTGGTTTATGATGTAAACAGGTAGATCTACATTTTTTTTCAGCCTGGTTTGATTTCTGGTCACAAACCTTCTAAATAACCCGCTTGAAAGTGCTCAGCATCCATCTGAAAGGAGAAGGAAAAAAAAAAGGCATGTATTTTTTGCCATGTCTAGACCAAACCAATTTTTGGTCCCCGTGATAGCTTTCAGCAGAAGGTGTTGAAGCACAGAATCATAGAATGGCTTGGGTTGAAATGAGCCCCAAATTTTGTCAAGTTCCAACCCTCCTTCCACAGGCAGAGCCATCAACCTCCAGGTTGGTCCCAGACCAGGTTGCTGAGGTTGCCATCCAACCTGGCCTTCAACACCTCCAGGGATGGAGCATCCACATCGTCTCTGAGCAGCCTGAACTGTTGAGCTCCTGTCCATCTGAAGCAGAACACATGCACAGAGCAGTGCTGGGGTTCATCAGTTCCCCAGTCCTATGTTGTAGGGCTGTGTATCATGAAGATGGAGACATGTTGTGCAAAGCTTCCACTGCAGTCCCTCTCTCCGCTGCCCCACGAGTTGCGAAGGCCAGGCCAGATATTTGGATACAATGCACAAATCCCTGGGCTTATCTGCTTGCCAGTCTCTATCACGATAATTCATTCAATAATTGTTCATTGTTAGGTAGCCCCCTCCCTCTGGGCTGCAAGCCTCGTGCCGAGCCTTGGATGGGCACAGTGCACACAAAGCCAGCAACCTTCAAAGCCTGCTCTTTGCTCCCATTTATCTTATCTAACACTCCACTGAAGTATGGATTTACATAATACATACCTAATATATTAATGTTCCTATTCATCAAGAGGATCTCAGTCCTGTTTTCTCTGAAAGCCTCGCCAGTAATGATCAAACTCCTTACAATAGAAGATTGTTTTATACCTCTGAAAAGGATTTTCTCCCTTATTTGTTTTCTGCATACTTTCACTGGGGTTGTTTGATACTACGATAAGAGCTTGGCCCAAAAACTGGGAGTGGTAGCATCCACACTTTGGGTTTGCATCACATTACAAAATGACAGCACTCACATTACTCATTCAAGGTGAACCACTTGGTCCACACTCTCTGTCGACAGCATCTTCCCAAATTATCCTGCAGTATAGCCTCCAAGCTGCCAATGGTCAACTTCCATTTTTCACACATTTCCATGAACGTGGTTAAATGCCCTTTTTACAACCCTTTCCTCTCACTTCACTTTTCTGTGTAACTTTAACTTCACTTTGGACACTGGATTTCAAAAGGCTGAATCACAGGATTGTAGCATCATTCGGGTTGGAAAAGGCCTCTGAGGTCCCCAAGCCCAACCCACACCCCAAGCCCACTGACTACATCCCTCAGTGCCACATCCCCACAGTTCTTGGATACCTCCAGGAATGGTGAGTCCACCACCTCCCTGGGCAGCCTGGTAAGAGGAAATGCATACAAAGAGGAAACAGCACTGGAAGAAGTTATGTTCAAGGTATGGTATGGACCTTAATGCAGCCCAAATGACTGTACAAAGGCATGCAGGCTGCCTGCACACCACATCATCAAACCACTAAAGGATGCTGCTGTTTTCTCTGTAAAGCCATGCAGATTCACTGCAATATATATCTACTCTATCTTTTGCTCTGGTTTTTTTTTTTGGTTTTTTTTTTTTTTTTTTTTTTTTTGGAAGAGTTAAGGAAATACTTGCTTTTATATGGATGTTCAGGCGTAAGTCTTCTAGCCAAAGGCACACAAAGAAAAATGAGGAGTAAATTACCCATTTTATTTTAAATAGTGATAATGATCGCATGTTGGAACAAACTGTTGGGTTAGTGGTTGATCTTTCTGCTTTCATATCATGCCTGAATGCCTTTCTGAAAGATAGCTAAACACAAAGTATTGGGCTCAGTACAGAAGGGGATGAAGTTAGGTGGATGAGCTATCCAGAGACCCAGACTATGGCATTAATGGTCTCTTCTGATCTCCGAAATCTGCAAATTTACTCTGAACCAGAGATTATGAAACAGCAAAGAATAAATCCCTTTAAAATTGCTAGTAAATGTCAGGAAATACACTTTAAACACACAAAGACGCAGAGTCGCTGATGGTCGTTGCACAACAGATCACAGATAGCTTGTGTGCTCTGTCACAGGCCACTTTATCTCCCTTATCCAGCCCTGCCAACACCAAACAGTAAATGTCAAAACCCTTCTCTTTCAAAACCCTGGGATTGTTTAGAAATACTGAGATCCAGCAGTGAAAGAAGCTGATCCCCTCAGCTCCTGATAGAAGACCTTGGAAAGAAGGCATGATCTCTTCTTCCCCCTTCTTGATCCATATCTGGTCATGTTTCCAACACTCAGACGGCTATCGTATGGCTATCCCAAATTGGCTTTCATGTCTCATATGAAGGAAACAGAAAAGAGTGCCGATGAGCACCGGAGTTAAACTCACATGAAAAATAATTCCATAAAAGGGGAATCCTGCAGCTTAAAATAGCCTGGCACTGGGCTGTAACAAGAGACTTTTTGCTGATGCCAGCCAGGGAGCACGATTCTACGATACTGTAAGTCTAAGCCTCATAAATACCCAGTTAATTTCTTTAAAAAAACACAACACGACTGCCCACCCTCACCAGATCTCAGCTGGAAAAAGCAGAGCCACCTCCACCGTGACTGATTGGACAAAGAAAGCAATAAACAGCACCGTGCTTCAGAAGCTTCATGGTCTTTAGAAATTAAAGCTGGCTGGAGCTCTGGCAGCCAAAAGGCTATTATTACTGTGCCTTCTTGTGTAGATATGATCTAAAGAAAAACACACATCTAGGTCTAACAATAATAAATAGTAAAGCTATTCATACAGCCCACTGCTTACACGATGGCAATTTTGCCATAATTGTAGGTAAAAGGAACAGGCACACAAACAGGAGTCTGTAGTAACTCAGCATTACCTGGTGCTTGGGAGCAGCTATTTCTTCTAGGTACATACCTTTGAGGAAGAAAACTATTTCAAACTCTGAAGGAACATCAGCAAAGCTCTCCTGCATCCTCAGAGCTGTATTCACACCAGAAAAATAAATAAAGCAGGAGTTAATTCCCTCACAAGGGGTTGTTTTCCAGCAGCATTTCCAGTCACCTGCAGCCATCCCCAGCCTGCACACCTCAGGGGACACCAAGGGGTGGCAGATGAAAAGACAGCAATGCAAGCAGCATGTGGTGTTCAAGCAGCTTGGAGGCTTGCAGCATTCAGTGGAAAAACAGGCTGCGAGTAAACTCAACCACTGGGGCATCCTCATACCTTGACTTGGGCACAGTGCCTTCACTCTCCATTTCCTTGCCATCATTCCCTATCCCGTGGCCCGCTGCTCAGCTCAGAGGAAAAACCCCTGTGAGATGGCAGAGTGGAAATCATGGGATCATTTAGGTTGGAAAAGACCTTCGAGGTCATCAAGTCCAGCCATCAACTTCACTTATCCTTGTCCCATCACTAAATAGAATCACAGAATCGTTCAGGTTGTAGAAATACTTTCTTCATGTATTATGAGAGGTGGTAGATTAGAGACAAAGCAAGCACAGAAGAGCCTGGTACTTGAGAAGCAGAAAAATGACTTGCAACCAGAAGACAAGGAATGAAGAAAGAAAGAAAAAGAAAGGAATTTAGTATGTATTGCAATGTCTTTCTTTTTTTTCACTAGAAGCAAGTTCTACTTGTTCCTGCTATTTTTATAGTTTTCTAGTTACATGCCCTCACACAAATGAACCTGGCCATGACTTCCTGCACAATCTCCATGGGACGAGCATTCCATCAGTGAGCACAGCATGTGCCAGCCCAAAATGCCCTTCCACCACACAACCTCAATCCTCAAATGCATCACAAGACTTTCTGAGGTTGGACACCTCCCTGTTCCTCCTCCTCACCCCATCCCAGAGCCAAGGACACACATCTCACATCACACCCCTGCTGACCAAGAGCTCAGGTTTGCCTCGCCAAGTCCAGGTCTCAACTCTATCCTACAGTGTAGACATACCCTTAGGGCATGTCTGCTCACCAGGCTCAGGCAGGGTGCAAGTCAGGTCTAGTTTGGTAGCTGCAGAACAGCATTACGGCACGGAGCAATCTGAATTTGCCTGGGCACTGTGCCACATTAACTTTTTCACAGAAAAGACAAACCAGGCTAAATTTTGCTCTCCTTCCTACCCATTCAAATTTAATTTACTTTAATGGGGAAAGGGACGATCTTGGCAGGCCAGGCTCATCTCTGCTGCGTATTTAAGCCTCGCTGGATGGTGCTGCCTGTGAAATAACTGCAATGACCCCAAACTGGGAGTTGGAGAGGAGGCTGGAGGGCAAACCAAGCCATAAGGATGCAGGGCAGGAGGCTGCACATCCTCCCCATGGAGGAGGAAGGTTTGTGTTGGGCTCCCTGAGCAATGCCAAGCTTGAAGCTTCAATAGGTATCTCATTTACACTCTGCTTGGTTTCTTACATACTGTAAGTAGTCCCATTTACACCCTTGCCTCCCCTGCTTCAACACCACTGTTCTGCAGGAGAGAAAAGAGATACGGGGGGCCCAAAATGCGTGTCTGGATATAACATGGGGAGAAAAAAGAGCTTCTGCACAGCTGGAGATGCTGGCAGATATTGCCCAGTGTCATCCAACACACAAGCAACTAGGCATCCTCCACCTGGGACAAGTAACAGAGTTTAACATAAGATAAACCTATACAAAAAGGTACTACAATTTTATGCTGGTTTTGACCTGTCATAGTAAAGCTTGGCTCAAATCAATGAGGTGTTGTTTTAGGATAAAGTGAAATCTCAAAAACAGGAAGGAGCATCGCAGCTCACAGTCCTTTTGTTTCCTTCTGAGACACTTTGCTGCCG